CAGAATCGAAGTGCTCGTAGCGAGCATAAAGAGACGATCCCAGCGTCTGTACAAAGACACCGATGGAAATAAAGCCCGTGCCAAGATTCGTCGCAAGATCAGAGAAGAGAAAGGAATCTTGACTTCTGCTGTGGAAAAATACAACAGAATGTTTCCAGACAAAGAAACTCTGTGCTTGGAAGAAATTCTGTCTGGTGACACAAGCTGGCCGTGGCAGTAGGCACACAGCGGTAGTTGTACATATATGTTGTCTACTTTCAGCATATCTGACATATAATGAAACCCTAAGCTTCAGGTGTTGACCTAAAATCATTTAGACTCCAGACGTTCTTTGTGAATTGATTTATAACTTTGTTATAAATGCATTTCAGACTCTGTCAGCCTTACAACAAAGAGAAGGGCATTCGATATCATCATGGCAATAAGAAGACTTGAGGAGGAAAAGAAGATTCTTGTTACAGAGATGGACCATCACTGGAAATCTCTTTCAAAATATGATGATATCCTGAAAGAGCTGTCCGGCCTGTTTTCCAGTGAGATATTTAAAAGTATGTATTTAAGTAATGCATACAAAACACTGACTGTTTCTTAAGGCATTAAAGCAGACTAAATTATATGTTCTATTTTTAAGGTTCGCATTGTGGCCTAAGTGAGGAGGGTTTGAGAGGTCTACAGAGCATCATCCTCAGAAAACGACAGAATGTGAAACAAAACAAGCTGCACGCAAGACAGTGTTACATGCAAGTTTTGTCAGGAGCAAAGAACATTAACCTTGATCATACTTCCGACGATGACTTTTACAGTGACTCTGAATTTTCTGATTAAAGTCTGTAATAAATATCTGTAATATATCTGTTTGTCCTCAAAGTTATATCAACTTCCTACTTTGCAGGTTTAATGCTTGGGCCCCCAATTTTTTCAAGTTGGCCATAGACCAGTCATTGACAGTGCATTCCCAAGACTTCATCACATCAATGCATTGCATATAGTTTTTTACAAAGACAGCTGGCACATTTTTATTTAATGTCATTCGTAGAGCTAAAAACTACCCTGTTACACTGTTTTTAAACATGCATTTTGGTTATACATAATAGTACACTGTTATGTATCAGAGGGAGATTTTGTACTTTTTACATTTTTGTCATGTTAAGTTACTGTAATATATTTTTGGCTCACAGAATTTACAAGACATATTGAAATGTGATTGATAGAACTTTGTAAGCAAATTTCAAGTATGCTTGTCACAGGTGAGAGTTTTCATTCTTGAGTATTTTGATGTACATGTTAAGTATATTTTCATGGTATGTATCATTCGTATCAACAGTATCAATAATGTTTGAGTGCATTACTAGTACTTGTGCTTATTTTTAAAATAATCATACTACAGTACAGTTCAGCTGATTCTGTCACAACAACCCTGATCCACAAATTAACTTTTGGATATATAACTTTTTTTGTTTAGTTCCAGTTGTACAGCGATGTGCTCAACCATATATATTTTTTTTAATTTAGAGTATTAATTGATCCAGTGGTTACTAAGCCTACAGTGTCTTAGGGTGGACCAACATCATTGTCATTTTACCCCCACCAAATTTCATTAAATTGTCTGTATCACTGTAGTTTATTTGTTTTTATATTACCAATGACCACAATCAAATAAAGTTGAAAAATAACTGTCAGTTTGATGTTTTCATGCAGTTTCAATGGATCATTTTGTCACCACAGTTAAAATTTAGTGACATTTATATTTTCATGACAAAGACATAAAACACATTTCTGTTTAATATAGTTATGACTGTAGACTTGATATGTAAAAACTGAAAATGACTGCCAATCATGTAAGTAATTTGTGAAAAAGAACGTAGAAATCTATTTTACAAACAAAAACAATTTCTTATTATGCAACCCTTTCAATACTATAGCCCACACCAGATCAAATTTAGGTATTTGTGACACATACAGCACATACATTTATTCCACAAAAGGAATAGATGGATGGCCACTATGGAGAAAGGCAGTCCTGAAACTTCATCAGGAGGACAAATCGTGTGCATCAACTTCACAGTGTCTTTTGGTCTTTTATCAAAAGATATTTGCCATTTTTTAGTTTCTTTTAAAGTTCTTGGTTAGGTTTAGGGATTAAAGACCAAATCCAGATTATAATATAAAAATATTGAGACACATCATCAGTAGTGGGCCTTGGATTCATTGGGTGTTTTGGCCCTTACCAGTAGACACCCTCATAAATGGAGGCCCTGCCAGGGTTGATCAGGCCCCGGTGTGTCACTGGTTGATGTGAAATTGTTATTTCTCTTCTACTTTTTCCTATTTAGTTTTCTACAATTTATTTTCTTCTATCACTTCACTGCAAAACGATAAGTACTATTTAGGTCTTTAGTGCTTAAAGAGCCTCACTTCTTAAAGAGATAGAAAAGGTGAAAGAGAAAAGAGATAACATAGGAGAGAGGAGAGCCGGAACTGGGGCATGTGATCTGGCATCCCATACCTCCGCGCCCAGATCGGGCTGTACCCTCTACATCTCCACTGCCTCCCACAAACAGGAAAAAGAGCTGAGGGTAGAAGCAAAACGTTTTTTCCATTCCTGCCTTATGTTTCACTACCATGAGGTTAACTGCACAGCCCCAGGAGCCCTGAAACAGCTGTATCAGTCAACAAGGCTTCAGGTCTATCACAGTACAAATTATAGTGTTATGTTTTCTACCCTTTTGATGCCCCCTGCTTAGGTAGCTCCACCACAGTTTGATCAATTCTGGGCATGTGTGTTGCGGATAGCTGACTGCCCAAGTGATCTCAGCCCTCTTTAACCACAGCCAGTGATTGGCCCACTCAGCAGTGTTAGCTAATTTTCTTATAACCTGCAGCAGCACCTGTCCTCTGGCTCCAATCTCTTTAAGCAGTTTTGCTATTGTACTGGCCCCTAACCCTAAATAGTAGTTCAGGTCGTATCTCTCTACAGAAACAGCTTAATTCTCTTTCTCCTATGACGGCCAATATTTGTTAGTAATCTTCTAAAGCCAAAAATGACATAGTCCCAATATACAGGGTTAAGTGCTGTTAGAGCTCAGAGGGTTGACTTAACCCTCTAATAATCAATGTAGTTAAAATACTCAAAAGAATGTTGTCAGTGGTAATGGGACAAAGCCACATTCAATGTTGATTTTAATTTGAAAATATGTGTACATAATCTAACATGCTTATTATTTGTGGGGACATCACACTTGAAATGATTACTGGTAGTGCAATTTGACATTTTCTGTGTTCTGTGTATACATTATATGTGCAAAGCAGAAAAAATTATATTTGCATAGAGAATGAATTTATATAACAGTGTAGGTGGATCAAGGCCAAGTCAATGTTGAGCATCTAAGAAAATTATGAAAGTTGATACTACTAGTAATGGAAACTTTCAGTCTCAACATCAAACAGTACTACAAGTTCTCACATGTCAATAGACCTTTGATTTTTTATTTTACTTTTCATTGACAGTACTCAGTACAATTTCACCAGCCTTCATACTTTAAACTAAACAGAACACCTGTTTACAATAACAACTTCATATGAGAAATAAAGGGAAACAGACTGATGGGTTTTATGGATTGAGTTGCTAGCTGCGGGTCATATTCACCGTAACAATTATAACAGTCTACACTCACTTTTTAAAGAATGTAGCAAATATAAATGCTGTACAAAAACATTCAAGTTAAGAACACAGAACTACTATTGTAGTTAACAACATAAGATAAAGTCTTTTTTTACGTAACACAATGCATTTTAACAAGTATAAATATTTGTCTAACATTTCTAAACAATCAAACTGCTGAAAATGAACATATCCAGTCTGTGAACAGAGAAGATCAATGTGACATCTGGATGTATGGACCTTTGGTTCCACATATTTCTGAAAGTGTTCCTTGTAGACAGTACACAACTTCAGTTTTCAGACATTATATCTTACTTGTTTGTAACATGGAAAAACAAACATCACAACATCATAAAAAGACTTCCTCAGTGGCTGAAGGAGGTGGCACATCTGGCATGGCAAAGTGGTGTTGAAATTCACTGGCTGGCTCCCACGTGTCATCCCAGATTTTCCCACTGGAAAATATAATTATTGAAAGAAACAACACCAAAAACATTAATATCATGTTGGGGATTACTTCGTGCTTTTTATGTTTAACACCAGAGGTGGAACATGATAAAGACATTTCCTTAAGTACTGTACTAAAATGCAAATTGTCATTTTTATGGATATTTTTAGCTTCTGCTACACTATTTGTAATTTAGATGGATTACAAACAAAACACTACTGTACAGTTACAGTCGACACATATGAAAGACTTAGTTATGGTTTTTCAGTTGAACAGTTCATAATATCCTTTCTGTGAAGTGAAAATAAAAATTGTTCAAATGTGATAATTTGTTTCTTTTGGATTATTATAAAGGCTGTTGTTTACTCTTTAATTTGTAGAGATTCATTGCTGTCACACAATTGTAATGCTAGCAATACAGTATGCAAAACAACTGAAAGCTTTCACAGTGTGATATTAGTACTTCTTTGGAAAGTTCAGAATCTGAATACTCCCTCCACTGCTTAGGCGATTTATCCTTTGGCAAACATAAATCTGTGTAAGACATGGACAAATTCTCTCCACTTTGTCAAAATCCTGATAGCTTTTATATATTTTTTACAATTAATGTGAGTGCTCTTATGGCCCCAGCACAGTCCAGCTGGAATTATTCCCAGTACTTTTGTCACGGACCCAGTTCCAGGGATTCGGGGTCCGTGAGCAGTGTGGACTACTATTGTAGTTATTATTATTATTATTATTATTATTCATTATTGTGGTTATTGTTATTATGGTTGTGTCTGCTGTCCTGTTCCGTGTTGGTGTACTGTCAGGTGTTTAGGGGTGTGTGCTTGTGTATGTGAGGGTGCGGTCGTGGCAGGCACTTTTAGGCCTGGTGGGTGTGGCCCTGCCAGCTGACCGGTCCCACCCAGGAATCCACACACACCTGGCGCCGATCAAGCCTCGTCAGAGGAGCTTCAAAACAGTGTGGCTGAGAGCTCCTCGACGCTGGATCGTTGAGTGACTTCCCGTCAGTCTAGTTATTGTGCAAGGTTAGTGCAAGTCTGCCGTTAGGTTTTGTACTCACGGCTGCCTTTTGTATGCGTGTTTCCTCAGGAGGAATTGTGGCGACCAGGAGGCAGCACACGGACAGTACACAGGGAACGGAGACAGAGCACGGGATAAGGGAGAAGACACGGAACGGGAGTCGGGATCGCACGGGGGATTTATTGTTGTTTGGATTTTCACCCTGTAAATAAACGCACTGCCTTCAGCGTCAAGTCCTGCATTTTGGGTCCTCATTTCTCACATCCCCACGGTCTGCCAGCCAGACCGTGACAACTTTTGCATCTAAGTGAGACACTACGTGTGTTTTCTGAACAGTTTCAAATATATTTCTTATTAAATTTGTTATTTTATGATTCGACAAAGATGGCAAAAAAATTTGCAATAATCCTTAATTGATTAAATAATTGAGATAGGATAAGAAAAAAAGCGAGAAGTAAGACGTGACAAAACACCTGGTTTTCCATTTTCATTTGTGCTCCAAAAAGGTAATAGATGGAAACAGAACATTCTCAGAGAATGAAATATCAAGAGCTTCTTACCAAACAGAGCAAGGCAACCAACGCACTTTTACTTCTGTGTTCCCCTAGACAGAAGGAATCAGAGAGGCAATCGTTAAATAACATGGTTAATGGATAGGTGTCTTCATAAAGCTTGTGTGTAATCCAGTGTGCACACCTGAGACACACACAGACCCATGTAAACACACTTTGATAGATGTGTAGGTATGTGTATGTAAGGCATTTCTGTTTATAAAAAAAATAATAGGATTTTGAAAAGCATGTATCCAATTGTGGCATTCACAAAAAATTATTTTGATCACAGGTTTAGTTAACTGCGTCTATCTGTTTTTGACTCTGGCTATGTTCTTTTCCTCGGAAAGTTTGACGTACTTGTAACATCATACACTGACATAATCAATATCATCCCATTATGAATTGTTTGAATTGTGTCCATTTAAACACTTCAAACTACACATGATTATCTACTATTTATAGTGAGACAGGGCTGGTCAGCATATATCAGGATCTATAAATTGTGCTTTCTATGATCCTGATTCAACAAGAACAACTGAGGATATAGGCTTACACAGAAAAAAATATGATCCTTCCTCATATACAGTCATTTCTATGTTAGCCATGTAGGTTTTTGTAGCAAGATGTAGCAGTATTCAATGTCTGTGATTAATTTTGCAGAATTGTTTAAGAACAAACACATGAAATACAATACAATCTTTTAATGTAATTCCATTAATCATTTCCCTTCACTAATCTCAAAAGTACATTTGAATTTACCCATGTAGCACAGTTCATGGCTGTAGTGCATGGATGAAAAAAAACTTGAGATAGGCTTACTGTAAAAAGTCTACTGAAAAGCAAATTAAAACATTTTAAGTATTACCTCATTTATCCTGCTCTCAGTGACTTCTTCAAACTGGAACACCTTCTGCCTACTACATCTTCGACAGCCTAAGAAATGAAAAATTACATTAAAAAAAAACATAAGACTCTGTATACACAAGAAATCAAATATGAGTTTTCACTCAACAAGTGAAAATCTGTAATATCCTCCTGATTGCCATACTCCATTTGTCCTCTGGGGTCAAAAAGTGAATCCACCTCAGTTGAGTTTTTTTTTAAAGTACATACCATAAATTGTGAATCAATTCTGTGTAAAAACTTAGTTTCACTTAGGACCAACAAATTAACAAAAAAATTCACCCTTCATTTTGCAATTTAGTGCCACCAGACCTTGTTTATATAAATGCATACACTATTTGTTGAGAGAAACTAAAATGTTCTCTCAAGGTGCGTTTTAGTTTTCTCAATCCAATCAAGTTGAATTACAAAGTCCTCTTAACTAAAGTAAGGGATTGACCATATTTAATTATAGTCTTTTTATAGTGTACACCAAAATGCAACTAAATAACTAGTGAATAATACTTTGCAATGGTTTGTTAGTTCTCTAGGACAAGATATGTATCATTTTTGGGTAAGAAACTTAAAAATCTCAAGACATAACATGCAAAGCAATACTTACTCTTTCTCTTCTTATTTTCATGTTGGCCACCCTCACTTAAGGACTGGGAGATCGCGTGGCTAGCAGGTGGATGAAGAGACTGCAGAGATGGCTGGTCTGCGGGTTTAAAAGGTGGTGGAGAGGTGGGAGAGGTTGTTTGTGAGGTGCTTCTGTCTCTCTTCTTTTTTTGGAAAGACTGGGAGCATGGAACAGAAGAAGGAGATAAAGGAACAAGATTGAGAACAAAAACAGTCTCTGTCTGCTCGTCTGACAGGCTCTTTGGGTGCTCCTCGAGGAGCCTAGAAGATTGATGTTCCTGGGTGGTCATCTCAGGTTGCTCCTTGGCGAGGCTCTCTGCTTGCTTGTTGATCAGGGTCTCTGCCTGTTCTTCACTGGGGATCTCTGCGTGCTCTTTGATGTGGGTCTGTTTGTCGGCACAATGCTCCTTGGTGGCATTCTTGGACTGCACAAGCTGCTGTTCTGTGGGGGTATTGGGGTGCACTGGTGTGGAGGTTCCTATAAAACACATTTACTTTCATAAAAATATTTTTCAAAAAAAAGGCCTTATATTTAGCAGGAACTACACTTTGGCTACGTTCACACTGCAGGCGAAAGCGCAGCAAATCCGATTTTTTTGACCCTCTGCGACCCATATCCGACCATGGTCTGACAGTGTGAACGGCACAAATCCGATATTTTCAAATCCTATTTGGTTCACGTTCGTATGTGTTACTGAATCCGATACATAGCTGATATTTTAGAAAGCGACTGTTGTTTGAACGGTCCTGTCACATTAAATCGATCTTCCACGTCACTGACACAAGACAGACGCCAATTATCAGCGCCAGAGAAGCACCACAGAAGACATCATGAACGCTTCCTGGCCATCCAGCTAAACTGTTGGGAAGACAACGTTGGAGAAACGTGAACATTTTATTTGCAGATTCTGACAGAAATCTGAAACTACCCTTTGAAGCACCGCTCCTCTCTAAAACAGCAATAAGGATCATTATTAGGCCATATGTAAATAACAAAATAACTTAAAGCAAAATTGGGAAACATAAAGTCTCAAACAAGTCTTTATAATAAGGGCCATCAGTCAAAAATACTGTTTGGTCTGGGTCTAAACAGAGCGCAATGTGTGTGACGTCTTCTTTTGCGCATGCGGCCGCTTTGGGCGTTCACACTAGAGCGCGTTTGCTGTCACATTTTATTTGTAGTGTGAACAAGCAGACAAAAAAATCTGAATTGAGCATTAAGACCTGCAGTGTGAACGAAGCCTTTGATAACATATCCTTCAATGGTTATTTAATGACCTTAAAATATACTTACACAATTTGCTTAAAGATTAATGAAGTATTCTGATTGTGAAAGCAAGTTGAGACGACTTGTTGTGAAAAGTTGCTATATAAATTAGCATTAATTAACTGGACTGAAAGTATACAACAGACTTCACTCTTACCCTTAGACAGTATAAATTCATAAGCCCTCTGCATCTTCTCCAGGAAATTTCTTGTAGTAGAAGTGGGGTCCAAATGGGTAATAACATCTGCTACCCACTTATGTGAATCCTTGTCTTTTTTGCCAATAAATAAAATGGGCTTGTAGCCTATAGACTCAAGTTTCTGCACCTGAAATTAATAAAAAAAAATAGTTGGCACAAATTAGTCAAACACAGCCTGTTGTTAAATGGTAAACGAAATGACTCTTATATAGCGTTTTCCTACTCTCGTGGAGCACTAAAAGTGCTTTATACAACATGCAATATTAACCCATATTCACACCAGCTTCTTAGAAGTTTCCATTTAAGCATTCACACACAGCGATCGTGGCTCAAGAGTTGGCAGTTCGTTTTGTAATCGGAAGGTTGCCGGTTCGAGCCCCGGCTTGGACAGTCTCGGTCGTTGTGTCCTTGGGCAAGACACTTCACCCGTTGCCTACTGGTGGTGGTCAGAGGGCCGGTGGCCAGTGTCCGGCAGCCTCGCCTCTGTCAGTGCGCCCCAGGGTGGCTGTGGCTACAATGTAGCTGCCATCACCAGTGTGTGAATGGTGGATGACTGAATGTAGTGTAAAGTGCTTTGGGTTCCTTAGGGACTAAGTAAAGCGCTATACAAATACAGACCATTTACACATTCATACTGATATGAATACATACAGCCACCACTGATGTATTACAGTTAAAGTAATTGTTTGTCTTTAGCAAAATGTAGATAAAATATTGTTGCATGTTCTCAAAAGCACATATGATGAGCTGTGTTAATGTGCCAGCAACATCTTATAACAACTTAATGATAATATATGAAACAAAATTTTTTTTACTTACTGCAATACGGGCAGAATCAATTATCCGCAAACATTTCTGTTTTTCAAGACAACTTCTGCCCACTGGCTATCCAATGATTCTGCTTTTTCTTTTAGCTTCTTTTTGCTGGACAGACTTCCGAAGCAGACATAGCAGGTTCTTCTGCTTGCCTGATTGGGAGTCTGGCAAAATGTACAGGGCCTGAATTTGGGGCGTGTCATGTTGAAACAAAGAATAATTACAGACAGAAAAGGCAGCAGACAGACAAAAGGCAAATTATAGGTTAACAAACACACTGACAACAAGAAAAAAGCTGAAGAGTTAAAGAGACAGAAATGCGGATAGAAACAGAGAGACAGACCAATAAGGACAGCAGTAAGAACAGATACAAACAGACTGACGTGGCTCTTAAAAGTGCCTTTAGGAGTTCTTCAAAAAGCAGATGTAGGAAGGAATCAATCAATAATAGGCTGATTGATGAAGAACCTGTTTAGAAAAAAAAAGTATTCAGAATTCAGAAGCACCTTATAAATAAATATATACATTAAACACTATTGTAACGATTTAGATAAACCCTGTTTAGTGTCCATTTGTATTTCATTTGCAGCATAGATGATCGGTCTGCTATTTAATGATTATGTAATGCTGTTATTAAGTTTAAAATCGAGAGAGAGAGAGAGAGAGAGAGAGAGAGAGAGCCATAAAGAGAGAGCTAGATTGATAGATAACGTCTATCTTCAATTTGAGCATCAACCCAATCTGGCAACACTGACCCTTATTAGAACCCTCAAACTTTACAAAGTGGCAACAACAGCAAACGTCAGCACACACTTCTCTATCACTGTACCCTGGATGATGATATATGATAAGCTTAACTTGATTGGCTAACAGAAATGAATTTAGCTAACTTACAGCACATGTGGTGTGGTAACATATATGCTATTAAATGTTAAGTCATTCGCTGTTCCACGAAATTGCTAATCTTAACCCATGGAACTGCTAAAAGCAGCTTTGTGAGCTCACTGTTTCGGGTTTTTCTTTTTGGTTTTAAATAAGAAAAATAATTTTAAAAAATCTACAGATTCAGATTCGCACTTACCTGTGGTACGATCGAGTACGTTGACGTCACTGCCGCTCATCTATATGATAAAAAAAATAAACTTTCTCAAAATTAAACAAGTGAGTCGCTGTGAATTCCTTAACAGCACCGAAAATGTTTTTGCATAATGTTTTTTTGCCGAAAATGTTTTTGCCTAATAAAAAAGAACAGCTTTTTTATTAGGCATTTAATTTAATTTAATACGTAAGAGCGTGATTAGCCAAAGCAGACGGTAAAATGACTGCATGTATTCAGAGGAGTTGGAGAAGATATCTTACAGCTGTAGCAGAATGATCGACAGATTTCCAAATATCAAAAGGATTGTAGAACAGTTTATAAAACCGGTGCAATAAATTCACCCAATCGCTAGCTGTGCCATTACCCAGCATACATCGCTCACTCCGTCAATACACAAATAACCGCCTGTAATTAGTTTTATCTGCAGTAATTTTCTCTCAGATAGTTGCCTGCATTATATAATTTATTGTGTTCAGTATAGGTCGTTACAATGTGATTTGGAAAATGTCTAAATATACCGACAAAATTTCAATCAGGCCTACGTCAATTCACGAGATGTCTAAATATACCGACAAAATCTCTTCAATCGGAGGACCCTTCACGTCAATTCCCGACGCGAGAGGGGTACCCTGCGCGTCCATAAGTGCAGCAGAGGGAGCCTGACCATGCGTCACACGTTTGACGAGTTGGGAGTGAGAACGTGTTGGAGGTTACGGTGTAGGACCCTGGTTTTACTTCCATCACTGCCCTCCGAATAGACTGCATAAACAGGATTATCACCTATTTGCCCTTTAACCAAATAAATGGTTTTCTCCCAGTATGATCGCAGCTTCCCTGGTCCCCCACGTTCACTGCAGTTCCTTACGAGGACCCTATCACCAGGCTGTAAAACTACACCCCTCAGCTTTTTATCATAGAAAGACTTGTTTTTGATACTAGACAATCTACTTTTCTCACTGGCTATCCTGTACGCTTCTGTCATTCTTTTCGCCCACCTGTCTGTGTAGCTTTTGTGTGACATTATCTGCTTCTCCCCAACTAGACCAAATAAAATGTCTACAGGAAGGCGCGGGTGATGCCCAAACAGTAGAAAATGGGGGGGAAAGCCTGTGGATTCATGGTGCGTACAGTTGTAAGCGTGAACTATGTGTGGCAAATGATCCTTCCAATTCCCCTTTTCTTTTTCACCTAGCGTTCTTAACATTTGTAAAAGCGTCCTGTTAAACCTCTCGGCAGGATTATCTTGAGGATGATATGGGGATGTTCTCAAGTGTCCAGTACCTGATTTCTCCCTCAGTGTCTTGAAAAGTTCATTTTCAAACTCGCGCCCTTGGTCGTGGTGAAGTCGTGCTGGGTACCCAAAGCGCGGAATGAACTCTCCAAAGATTCGCTCAGCTGCTGTCTTCCCAGACTTGTTTTTGGTGGGGTACGCCTGGGCAAACCTGGTGAAGTGGTCCACAACGACAAGAATGTATTCATATCCCCCCCGGCTGGGCTCCAGGTGGAGATAGTCGATGCAGACCAGGTCCAAAGGCGAGGTGGATGTGATGGTGCCCATTGGAGCACGTACTTGGGTTGTTGGTTTCTTGCTAATGATACATCGGCACTTCCTGGTAACATAGCTTTCTATGTCCTGTTTCATGTACGGCCAGTAGAACCTCTCTCTCACCAGTGCCAGTACTCTCTCTGTGCCGATATGTCCCATGTTATCATGCAGGTGCTTTAACACCGTCTCTTTGTACTTGGCGGGGAGGATTAGTTGTTGCCTTTCACCTGTCTGTCTATACATTAGTCCGTTTTTGAAATGTAATTTGTTCCACTCCTGCAACATTTTCCTCGTTGTTTTAGTCACTGTGTTTCTGATGTCATTTGTTAAGACTGTCATTTTCTCCTTTAGCCTCATTATTTCTCCAACCGTTTTGTCTTCTCTTTGTGCTTGAGCTAGCTCATCTTGGTCGATTGCAGGAAAAACTGGATGTGGCTCCCGGGCTGCATTTTCAGCGAGAGTTAGGGCAGCAATCCATGCAACATCACTTTCTCGAGCTGCTCTAGCCCCACCCCAGGCTGCTTGGACCACCTCAGGTGATAACTCTTCAGTGCACTCACCCACATACATGTCAATGTTAAGAGGCAGACGGGACAATGTGTCAGCATCAACATTGGCCCGGCCGGGCCTGTATTTGATCTCAAAGTGAAAGTCTGACAGTTCCCCGACCCAGCGATGGCCCACGGCATTAAGCTTGGCAGTACTCATAACGTAGGTCAATGGATTATTATCTGTATAGACAGTAAAGTGTGGAGCATAGTACAGATAGTCTCTAAAACGCTCACACACTGCCCATTTAAGTGCCAGAAATTCTAGCTTGCCGCTATGGAGACGATAATTCTTTTCTGCTGGTGACAATGTCCTGGACCCATACGCTATTACCCGTAATTTTCCATCCTGGCGCTGGTAGAGAACAGCACCGAGGCCCTGTTCTGAGGCATCTGTGTGGAGGCAGAACGGTGAGTTAAAATCTGGGTAGGCCAAAACTGGGGGACTCGTAAGCATGGTAATTAGCTGTTCAAGTACATGCTGGTGTTCACTAGTCCATTCAACGGGGGCCTTGGATGACAACTGGGGACCTTTAGTCTTCAGTTGGCGCGATGGGAAAGTTGGCATGTCCGGTTTAACTTTTAACAGTTCATAGATAGGTTTTGCAATCCTCGAAAAGTCTTGGACGTAGCTTCTGTAGTAGCTTAAGAAGCCAAGTAGACGCCTTATATCACCAACTGTTTGAGGTGTCTTAGTTTTTAGGGATTCTACTGCCTCTAAGTCTTTTGGATCAATCCTTACCCCTTCTGCAGATACAAGGCGGCCAACATACCTTACTTCTTTGCGAAACAGTTCGCATTTTTCGGGTCTTAGTTTTACTCCGTGCCTCTGGAGTGCTCTTAAAACTTGTCTCACACCCTCAACATGCTCTTCAAATGTTGGTGTATAGCATAAGATGTCGTCCA